CCCACCCACCACTATCCTACCCACCCCGACCCCACCCTAATAGTACTTTATTTTCATGTTATAAATAGTATTTTTTTTTATTTCAATAAATGAGTATTTTCTTTTCACGATAATTTTTATTTTTTTTTATTTTAACAAAAAAAAGTATTTTCTTTTCATGATATATGAAAAATATTTTCTTTCATTTCAACAAAAATGATGCAATAAAAAGTATTTTCTTTTATTGCAACAAAAAGAGTATTTTCATGTTGTAGAAATAGTACTTTCTTTTTCAACAAAAAAAAGTGAGTATTTTTTTAGTTATGGAGTACAAATTTCAACGTTGTTTTTGTATAAGAAAGTAAAGCAACACATTAGTTCCTTTGGGTTTGTGTGAATTTTTAGAAGAATAATTAAATTCTTGGAAGAAAATAGAGTCATGCAAATGTTGGGTATTTGGGTGGGTAGGGGGATGGGGGTAAGGAGAGTAGCATAAAAAAATATTTTCTAAAAAAGAAATTTTACTCTCTAACCAATCACTAGAAAATATTTTCTAAAAAAAAGTTTTCACTCACCAATCAAACAAGGGAAAATAAGTGATAAAACCACTTATTTTTCATGAAAATATTTTCCTTCGTACCAAACATACCCTACTAATCCTAAACAAATCAAGCTGTATAATAACTCTTCTAACATGAGTAGTTTATAATATTAAGATTTTTATTACAAAAAAAAAAAAAAAAAAAAAAAAAAAAAAAACGTAACGAAAGTAAACCTATAAGGAAGTCTCTATAATTATCTCCTCTTTAACGTATAAGATCATAGGTGAAGTATCTAATATTATTATTTTATTAACAATTTCTAATTTAATTCTTTTTGTCCTTGCTTAAAATTTAGGGAAAAGGCATAAAAAAAAACCTTGAACTTGTTTCAAATTTGCTGTTATGTACCTATATTTTGCGAGTCTTATTAACCCCGAACTATTATAAAGTAAAATAAATATACCCTTGAGTGTACTCACTTTTTTGGAGGTATGTGAGAGCATAAAAACAATTCAAAAATTTATTAGTTTATACATGTGTCATTTTGTCTACTGAAAATAACCTCGGATAAAATCTACGTACACACTGGCCCCCTCCTACCTCATTTGTGGGACTACACTGGTTATGTTAATGTTGTACATATGTCATTTTAAATTGGAAATTTTATAGTTTCCCTTCGTTTACACGTTGTCGTAAACGAGTCCAGCAAGAGCTCCGGCAAACTCGTCGACGGAAAAAATAAGGTCCACTCAACATTTTTCAGCTTCCTTCACTTTCAGTTTCACCCCTCCATCTCCCTTTTACAGGAGGCTTTTGCATCTATACCAGATTTTGGTTTTGGGGTCACAATTGAACTTATATCCACTTTACAAAAAAAGTTTGCAAACGTACCCACTTTACGATCAACTTCAGACTTATCGGGTCTGAAGTTAAAAAAAAATTAGTTTGAAGTGAAAAAATTGCACTTCAAATGCATTTAAGGTCAAATAGGTCTGAAGTGCAACCAATGGTTTCATGCACTTAAGGCTAATAAGTTTGAAGTGAAAAATTGCACTTCAGATGCACTTAAGGCCAAAAGGTCTGAAGTGCAACAAAACGTTTTGCTACACTTAAGGCCAATAACTCTGAAGTGAAAGGTGCACTTAAGGCCAAAAGGTGAAGTGCAACAAACATTTTGCTACACTTAAGGCCAATAAGTCTGAAGTGAAAAATTACACTTCAGATGCACTTAAGGCCAAAAGGTCTGAAGTGCAACCAACATTTTTATGCACTTAAGGCCAAATAGGCCTGAAGTGCAAATTGCCCAAAAACAGAAATTTGTTATTCGAATTATAACAATCCAATTTACGATTTAATACCTAAATCTACTCCAAATGAGCTCAAATTTGAAACATAACCTCAATTTGTCAAAACAACAATAAATCTAATGAATCCATTTTGCAATTAAGAAAAAGAAGAAGAAGAAGAAACCCTAAGCAATAGCAAAAAATAAAGTGTCATAACAGCTCACCATTGTAAAACATCATAAACTACATTAAAATATGTTCACAACCATCATATAAAATCATTGTCACCCGAAGAAGAAGAAGAAACCCTAAGCAATAGCAAAAAATAAAGTGTCATAACAGCTCACCATTGTAAAACATCATAAACTACATTAAAATATGTTCACAACCATCATATAAAATCATTGTCACCCGAAGAAGAAGAAGAAGAAAACGAAGGAGGAGGAGATAGAGACCTGAAATTGTTTAAAAAGCGAGTACAAGTTAAAACTTTTTTAAAAGTGGCTATAGATTAAATTAGGGCGACCCCGTGCAATTTATACCTTTTATAGCAACAACAAAGATCCAACTAAAAGTATTAACTATTGAATCATAATGTGAAGCCCATGATCGTATGACAAAACTCTAGAACTAGAGAGTAAGCCGATGAAAGCAGAGAAGAAAAAAAAATGATTTAAGTGGTAAAATACAACGCGTGTATTTCACCACCCAACAAAGATTTCAATGGTGTAGTTATTCCACTTCATAATAGTTGTAACAGTAAATCCTTCAAGGGGGTTCCTATACCTTTTCCTTTAAAAAGGAGTAATACAAATACCCTGTATTTTACCACGTTTGATTCAAGAAAAGTAGAAAACCATGGAAGATAAGGAGAAATACTTTTCTTAAAGGAGGTATTTTCCTCCTCCATGCATATTACTTTCAACAACAACGATAATGATCTCACAAGTGGAGGTCTGGGGAGAGTAGGGTATACGCAACACCTTACTCCTGAGGTTGTTTTCATAGACCCTCGGTTCCATGCATATTACTTGAGTATAATATGAATCGAAAAGAAACTCAATTACTAATTTACTTCTATCTAATTCACAACGATTACATATCCTCGATTTTTACTTACCGTCCTCTTTCAGGGTCTTTTACTATCCTCTTCATCTCTCACCTTTAGTCTCAGACAAACACAGCATTAGTTCAACGGATATTAACAGGAAACAAAATCACACTATGATTTAAGAACATCAAAATTACTAAGATGTAACAGTCAGCAAAAAACAAAGGCATATTTTCCTTAAAGAAAAAAAGCATATTCTCACAATTGAGTTTACCAGTTAGTAGAAACAGTGTATTTCTGCAAACTATACAGCTGACACCAATGCAGCAGACTGCTGGCGTGCTATTTGATTGAATCAACGAATAGTCACTTTCGTAAAGCNTATATATATATATATATATATAGACACATACACTGATCATGGTTTCGCCTGAACAGCTTTAGAGACATCGAGATGATTAAGACGGCAGGTTCCGAGAAGATATTCAGGAAGCTCCTCTGTTGTGTTGGCCTGTGAAGAAAGATATTTCAAGGAGATATCAGATAGTTGTTCCAATAAGACACTCAATGCTTGTCAACCTCATTGAAATTCAAGGCACTTGACAACATTGGCACTTTCCACAATTTAAAACCATATGCTTAAATGGAGAATGGGACATGAACATTACCTGGACAAGAAACGCCATTTCAATGACAAGATTGTTTAGATATCCAACAACAAGGCTTACAACGCCCCTTGCCACAGTAGAAGAGCCAACATCGATATCAAGCTGAAAGATCACAAATTTTTTTGAGAATCCGCTATGAGGAAAAAAAAATTTCCATGTTAAAAAAGATGTTTCACTGTGGAGGTATTTGAATGTCAATACAAGGAGTATTATTTCACCTATTATTCTAAAGATAGTTAAATTTTGACCTAAAACTTTGTAAAACCAACGCTTCAACATATAACAGCAATCCTCAAATTGCCACATGAATCAAACAGCAACTGAAAGCCCTCTCCGTCCCCAGTAATCTTTTATCCTTTGTCGCCAGTGTTATCAAAGGCGAAAAGCGCAAAAAAGCTCTAAGGCCCGTTGGGGCTTTAAGCGCAAATAAAGTGTGAGCTTTAATGAAAAAAGGCGCAATGGGAGGAAAAAGTAAAAATATGTATATGTAGTCCAAGACCAATAATTATAAGCATGAATAACAAATACATGGACAAAAAAAAGTTGAAGAAAAAATAACGATAAAGTGAAATATCAATTGTTCAGTGTCGCATTTTCAGGATTACACTCATTGGCAAGGAAAGTATGCCTTAGAGCCTTGATGCGACACCGAAGCGCCCGCAAAGCGAGGGGAAGCGCTCAACATGTTTTGAGCCTCGCTTTAGGGCTTAAGCACGCTTTAAGCGCGCCTTTGACAACATTGTTTGTCGCACCCAACAACTAAAAGGAAGATGAAAAAAAATAACCCAAAACCCATGAACTCATCCACATGAAATTAGTGCAACCGAAAAGTACTGATGACTACACACCTCTGCTGAGAAGTTCAAATCTTCAAAGAGGGTTAAATGGGTTGTTAGATGTCCCACATTGGTTCAAGACTCAAGCAAGGAGTATCTATGTTATTAACTTGGTAAAAGTATTCTACTTCTGCCGAGAGGAGATATTGAACTTCTGCCATAGTGGAAGTAGTTCATTCACACATCTTGGAAATGGCCATATTAACTGCACCAACTATTAGTAGCTAAACATGCAAACAAAATTAAAGCATCATCTCCTGTCAAAATACTCTTGAAATTTACCTCCAAGTAGTTCTTTCCCCGAAAATAATTAATTTCCAGCGCTTGACCTACAATGCATGCTTTCTTCCCAACACTCTGCTTGACTATCCATGGTCCCTGACAATAAATAAGAGTAAATATCAAGATTCCTGATCTTTAAAAGGATTGAAAAATTGTTAAAGTGCTATTAGCAGTGCTGATAAAAGCACATAGTCCAACCAAAAAGCAAGCAAGAAAGCACAAAAGAATTACAATGCAGGACTCTAGGATGACATGTATTCTGGGAAAATAACTTGAGCATGCAATAACCCTCTCTGGATTTCATTTCTCCATTAAATTAAAATTTCTTCGGTTATGATTGTCTTTATTGTTGAAAAATGACTTGAAGTTGTAAAATTGACCTCTGAGAAGTGAAAAGGATCATGCCTGTCATTGGAACTGGAAGAGGCATTCAGTTTTCTTAAGATTGTGAGGGCAACTTGCTGCTGTGCAGTTAATAGCTGCAAGCTCGGAAGGTACAGGGCAAAAGTTCTACCACCAACCATTATCAAGAACATTGATATGGACCAGTGCAAATACAACATGATGGCATGCCCTAGCTTTTTGCTAATGCGTTGAGCAACTTAAATAAAAATAAGCATTATTATTAAACTTGTAAAAAAAAAAAAAAGAGTCTGCTCAATCTCAATTGTCAGAAAATAAACCTTGGATATGTATGGTATGAGCTTGAAACTTGAATTTCTATAAGCATCATCTCCTTTGACGAAACTCTCCAGCAAGGGTGCATTTTCTATAGGAGTGTCCATCATATAGTAGAGACCAAGACTGTATGTTGTTGAACCTGGTACCTGAATGTAAGAAAATTCAGCTAAATGACGGATTTCTCTGGAATTCTGAAGGAAAAAAGAAAAGGCATATAAAAGAAGCTAGAGAATACCTGTATATTCACAATGAAGAAAAATTCTGGACCACCCTTAGCTGCATATTTCTGCATATAAAAATTGGTAAGCAGCAGGTTTACAGACTACATGTGTATGTTAAGTGCCATTGTCTTCACAGAATAAGAGAAGCAACCTGAACAATGCCCCCTGGGCGACCACCAAGATCATCTTCTCGCTTGTCAGACTTCAGCCAATCTGCAGCAACCATTTTCATCAATGTGCCTTTTGCCTTGATCTGTAACAGGCACACAACCAGCAAATGACATCAAATAAGGACAAAGCACATAGCTTTGAAATATAATTGTGAACTAAACAAATTTGACATGAGTAGGACAAGAACCCCATAGTATCTCATGCACACTAGCGTAGAAGATAACTATCCAAGACGCCTGCAGGTTTTCTGGAGTGAAGTTTCCTTGCTGGTATGCCATTTTAGATATGTTTTAATACCTCATGGTATCACAAACAATGGGTTTGTTTAAAGCAATTTAACTAACACTTAGCTGCGGTACATGTTGAGTCCCACATCGGTGGGTGTGGGAGGCCATTTGTCTCCTTATATGGCCTTGGGCAATCCTCACCTCATGAGCTAGCTTTTGGGGTTAAGTTAGACCCAAGGTCCATTTTCTTTAACATGGTATCAGAGCCAAGCCCACCACAATTTATTGTTATCGATGTTGGGCCCCTATTTATGTTGACCACACTCTAGTTTGCAGCCCTGGGCATGAGGGGGGTGTTGAGTCCCACATCGGTGGGTGTGGGAGGCCATTTGTCTCCATATATGGCCTTGGGCAATCCTCACCTCATGAGCTAACATTTGGGGTTAAGTCAGACCCAAGGTCCATTTTCTTTAACAGTACAGAAAGATATTCTGGCTTTTGCCGAGCGATGATCAGTAGGTTAGGTTAAAAAATTAAACATTATACTGCCGGAAAATCAAACCACAGAAATCAATTTTAAAGGGGAAGCTTTTCCAGTTCTCAAGATCAGTTGAGACAGATGAACCACACAAATTGAATCAGAACATGCTTATGAAATAACAAGACAGTTATAACAGAATCAACTATGAAATCCCACCTTCTTACGATCTTCTAGATAAGTCTCTCCCCGAATAAGAAAA